TGTGTGGAAGGACGAAAAAGGGAGTTCGATTAATAAGATGGGAAGCAGTCAGAACACTCCCCCCACCCAAATGATGGGGATTGATAGACTATTGTCTTAGAGAGAAGGGAGAGCTAGAGAGAGAAGTGAATCCATATAATGAATTGTCCATCCTTTACATGGTTCCCTAAAGGGGGTATTTGTAGGAGAAGAATGGGTTGGGCCTCCGAGCTAGGCCCATTTACAGTAAAAGACCAATAAATGGCTAATAAGTGGGGTTTCATTTATTCTAATGGATACATATGAATAAATAAAGTGTACAATAATGTAAATGTTATCTACTGAGCGTACGTGGGCTGTTGTCCGGGCCCAATAGTCGTGATACCCGGGGGTCCAAGTCTATATACTCTATGAGGAGTCCCCCATTCCCTGAGTCGAGAGTACTCAAGGCGAAACCGAGTAGAACTGTGTGTTGATCTATCGTTGGTGCACGTGTCAAATGTCGTGAAAATTATGAATTTGTGCTTCTTTGAATAACGGGGGCACCTAGTCCCCCGCTCTTCCAGTCCCGCCACTCTTTGAGGTCAATGTAGTGAGATGAAGAGGAGTAGAGTAGTGCATGTCTCGTGATGTCTTCAGTGGGGGCCAAGGGTCGACACCTTTTGTCCACGTTGGGGAGATGGCTCGTTAAAAAACTCATTAGGAAAAACCCTGTGGGAAAAAATCCTAATGAGGGAAAAAGAGTACATTTGATGCCCCTAAAATGAAGCAAAAGGGGTGAGCCCTTCGGCCGAGGCGTGGAGCTGCAACGGTGTCCGTCTGCTGAGAGAATGGTTGAGACCAATCTTCATATGTTAGTAGCTCGGCATGATAAGTAGTCCTAGTCATGAAATAAAGATGACTAGGGGATTGGTCTAGCGACTATCCATGATGTCTAATTCATCAAATAAAGATGACCGAAATATAAGGCTGATGGGCAGATATGATCTTCACCTCATCAAATAAAGATGAAAATGAGGGATAGCAGAGAAGCATGCATGAGAGCAACACCTCATCAAATAAAGATGACGAGACAATATATGGCTGATGGGCCTGTAAATGAGCTTCACGTCATCAAAAAAAGATGACGGGGCGATATATGGCCGAGGGCCTGTAAATGAGCTTCGTGTCATCAAATAAAGATGACAGAGCGATATATAGTCGAGGGGCCTGTAGGTAAGCTTCTCTTCATCAAATAAAGATGATTGAGCGATATATGGTCGAGGGGCTTGTAGATGAGCTTCACGTCATCGAATAAAGATGACAAAGCGATATATGGCCGAGGGGCCTGTGAATGAGCTTCATGTCATCAAATAAAGATGACAAAGTGATATATGGTTGAGGGGCCTGTAGATGATATTCTTGTCATCAAATAAAGATGACAGAGCGATATATGGCCAATGGGCCTGTAGATGAGCTTCACATCATCAAATAAAGATGACAGAACGATATATGGCCGAGGGGCATGTGAATGAGCTTCACGTCATCCAATAAAGATGACGGAGCGATATATGGTTGTGTGGCCTGTAAATGAACTTCTGGGCTCCTTTAGCTTTTCAGTCGGAGACTGCAAGATGTTCGCAGTGGTACAAATAATGGTCATCATCCTATGAGGACGGTGGGCGAGCCCAATAATAAATCCATGACGTCGAATCTACGAGCCAATTGTGATATGAGGATGGTGGCGCTGAGGAGCTTGCCCGAAAAATGATAATGAGGCGATGATGAGCCGATCATCATGTAGAGGCGAAAGTCACGACCCGGGAAGGGATGGCGAGCTCAATCGCTACCTTAAGAAGTTCGACACTGAGGAGCCGGTCTTGAGATAAATAATCACACTGAGGCTGAGGGCCCGGTCGTGAGGTGCGGAAGGCGATGATGGGGAGTTGGTCCAAAATATGAAGACGAAGCGTCGATAAGCCGATCGTCACATAAAGGCGGTGATTACCATATGGGAGGGGATGGCGAGCATGTTCGTTGTAACGAGACACTCGACATTGGGGGGTCGGTCTCAAGATAAGGGATCACGTCGTGGCTGAAGGGAAGGTCGTGATATGAGGATGGCGATGATGAGAGTCAGTCCGAAATATGATGACAAGGCGATGATGAGCCGGTCGTCATATACGTAAAGGCAACGGTCACCATCCAGGAAGGGACGGTGACCCCGGTCGCTATAACAAGACTTCAGCGTTGGGAGCCGGTCTTGAGATAAATAGTCACGTCGAGGCTGAGGGGCCTGTCGTGATGTACGGACGAGGGCGCATAGGGGTTGGTCCGAAAGTCCAAGCAATGGTTCTCATCTGCGAGGGGCAGAGATGAGACTAGTCTTCAGAATATGATAATCACAACGTGCCGAAAGGCCAGTCGTGATGTGTGGACGTCCGCACTGAGGGCGGGTCCAAAAATCCAAGCAGCGGCCCTCACCCATAAAGTGGAGGATGAGACTGGTCTTCATAAAGATAATCACGACGTATTCATAGGAGAAGAATGGGCTGGGCCTCCAAGCTTGGGCCTGACAGGCCCATTTACAGTAAAGGCCAATAAATGGCTAATAAATGGCGTTTAATCTATTCTAATGGATACACATGAATAAATAGAGTGTACAATAATGTAAATGCTATCTATTGAGCGACGTGGGCCGTTGTCCAATTATTGTGCTATCTATTTACACATGAATAAATAGAGTAATAACGGTTACATTTGATTGGACCACATTACTTTATCATTTTTAATTTAGATTTAAATAATTCAACTGCTACATTCTCATTAGTCCACGTGGACAAAGGTATGGTACCTTATGGGTACCATAGAATCTACCTAACTTTGTATTGTGTTGTTCATTCTCCAAGGCATACATACTTATATAAGAATATATTGTCTAGTCTAAGAAAGGAATAGGATATTACATTTGTCTTGTCTAGAAAGGCTTTTGTAACCGTTCAAAACCATTCAAATGCTTAAATTTCAAGTTCTCCCAAACTAGAGGATTTTCAAGGATAACTAATTAATTGACAACTTTAGCTCAATTTTAAATAAATGTAAACTCAAGTATTTGAATTTGTGAAGTGACTTTAATTATAACTCATCCATAACACCTATTTAATTTTCAAATTTATTACTCTCAAACAAGAAAGGTTTCCTACCCTTTTCCTTCCCTTCCCTTCCAATGATTAACTTGCAAAATCTTCTCCTCCTCATTTCCTTCAAACTCTCAAACATACCCTGAGTATATAAATATGGGCCTAGATGTGCTCAACCTATCCAGCCCCATTCATGGGCCGAATACATTTCATGTGCCCAACAAAGAACAGACCAAGCTATCCATCAGAATTATAAAATGGATATAATTTGAAATTCATTTTCATATCAAATACACCACTACTCCACCTTAAAATGTCCATTAATTAGTACCAAACAATTTTCCGCAGTACTAGTTTTTTATATAAAAAACATTTTATATTACTGTGGAGTATATGATAATCTTTTTTAAATATACTCAAATTTTGTAATTTTGATACGGAGTATTACTTATGAGAATTAGGGCCGTTAACGAGCCGAACCGAGCCTGAACACCTAAAGCTCGGGTTTGGCTCGATAAGGAATTAGTGGTGTTCGGGATCGAGCTCGAAACTCGACGAGCTTTACAAATGAGGCTCATGTTCAGCTCGACAGGCGTTCGATGTTTGAATCGAGCGCTCGATAAGCTCGATTAATATGCTCGAACTTAAACTTTTAGGTGATGCTCGTTAATAGACTCGTGCTCGAATGATTCGACAAGTATTCAGTTCGTTAATAATCATATTTAAATTCATAAAATCATACTAATTATATTTAAATTTTAACATATATAAATTATATTTATAATTTCAGGTGTTCGATAGGCTCGAGTTCGAACCGAGCCAATTACTACTATGTTCGAGCTCGGCTCGATTAAGTTTTTGAACTTAAAATTCAGCTCGGGTTCGAGTTCGATAGCTCGTTAAGTTCGGCTTGTTAGGTTCGAAACCGAGCTCGAACTCGAATAGTTCGATAAAAGCTCAGTTCGTTAACAGCCCTGATGAGAATTGCTTCTCGTGGGGGTGTGTACAAGCCACATAGATAATTCCATATAAGTTTTTAAAAAACTGAGATTTTTTTTACAATTATATGTGTACACATAAACTAGGGGCACATAAAAATGGTGTGTGCAAATAATTTTCCCTACATATAATTTAGGAACGGATGAAATATTATTCTAATTATAAGTCATTTTACGTTTAAGTAAAACATTTTCTAATCCTATCTAAAAGTTCAAAATTTACTAATTTAGACAACAGTAATCTCACAAAAAAGGTATACACATAAAAATAAACAAATTTGAAAAGATATGCATAAAAAATGAGATAAGAGTCAATTAAGTACACCAACTGGTATGAGGTGGAGTAAAGAGTACACTATTATAATGATAATTAACACTTCTTAAAAAAGAAAATAAGAAAATATTAATGATACTCTTTCAAACGTCTCATACAAAGATTCTCATTTATACTTTTGAAAATAATTAATTCCCTAAAATGACAACTTAATCATTGCATATTACAATCTATACACCCATAATAACACCAGCATTAGGATCCATTATCCATTATATTAAATTTTTATACCCAAATTACCTTATTTAGTTATTGTGTAAAAAAAGTGTGCCATTTTTAATGAGCACTTTAAATCGGGGTAGAGGTAGTAAATATCTACATAAATACAACCTTTGATTTTAACAATTTCAATTTTACGTGTATCGACTCGAAACATTGACCGAATATACAAAAACAAAACCCGAAATATGAGTAAAAACAATGCAGTTTCTCTAAATAGTACGTAGTATTTACTATGTTTTTTCTCTAAATAGGAGTAAATTTCTATCATAATGAAATTATGTTGTCATATTTTGGAATTATCAACCATTACATTAGTATAACAGTATAAATGTCAATGGTGTCAAACAGGGGCGGAGCCAGGGGGTCAGAGTGGTCAACCGACCCCGCTAAAAGTTCAAGAATGTAGAGCTTTGAAATACCTTCGATTTGATATATTATGGGTCTCGTAACTCATTACGAGTAAAAAGTTATGACTTATGGAAAAATCAGCACCATCTTAACTTGAAATAAGCAAAATTCGATGTGTGTGTTGATTATATTCTTAAATTTAAAAATAAAACAGCTTATTCAGTCATTAGTTGTGTGAACATTATGATACATTACATATATATATATATATATATATATGAATACATTAACCGAAAATTCTCATTAAACTACTCCCTCCGTCCCATATTTAACTCCGGTTTTGACCGGGCACGGGTTTTAAGATAGTGGGATTTGTGTGGTGGAGAGTTATGCAGAGGAGAGAGAAATGTGTAAGAATGGTTGTGAACCACATATTCTTTACCAAAAAGGGAAACATGAGATAAATTTGGGACGAACCGAAAAGGAAAGAATGAAGATAATTCCGGGACGGAGAGAGTATCATATATTTATCTCAGCTACATATGAAACATTTATTCAAGCATTGTATAATAACTATCCATAATTTTGATACCGTATATTATTAAATTTCGACCCCCCTCACACATTTTTCTGGCTCCACCCCTGGTGTCAAATTTGACTTTTCAAGTCAATGATGTCTAACTTTGACCGGTTATATATTCATACACATAAGTATTGAGAATAAGAAAATAATATGATATTGTTCTTTGTTAAAACCAATATCATAAAAGTATAAAATTATTAAATTAGTTAAAATGATTGGTCACCACAGTTTACCATCTTTAACTGGAAAAGTTGATGATATCAAAATAAAAAGGGGTGGAGGTAGTAAGAGAATCATATTTTGAAATTTCACATTGAGATAAATTTTATAATATTATTTATGATGTGATTTTTAATATATTAATGCATAAAATGTAGTATATATGAATAGTATAAATGTGATAGTATTTCAAATTTGCAACAACGAGGAAATCTATGGTTGCTTATATGATTGGCCAGGAAAAATAAGTAACAGTAATATATATATAGTTGAATTTGGTAAAATGAATTACCGATTGTCACACAAACATGAGAGCATGTTAAGTCCATGACATCAAACGGTTGAGCAAGTCAAGACCGAGGCGGACACGTACGTGAAACCAAAATAGCATAGGCGCATAGCGGTAGAAAGTGTTTGATTTTGAGCTCATTTGGTAACATGAAAATCGGTTGATTTGGCTGATTCTGTTGAAATTTATGAAGTTCTGGCTGAAGTGGTTGCATTGGTTGATTCTGCTGATTTAAAAAAAATACTTTTAAAATATATTTTATTAATAAAATAAAGAAAACATTATATATGTCAAAATAGCTAAAATGGTTATCTACACTAACTTCAGCCAATACAGCCAGAAAAGTAACTTCAACCTTATTTTTTTTTGCTTATTACACAATTCAGCGCACGAAAGCAAAAGTTACGTGTTTGGTGAAAAAGTTGGCTGATAAGCCGATAAACAGTGTTACCAAACGGCCTCTTGATCTATTCATTCATATTTTCTAGTTGTGCGAGCTAGAAAGTATTTCACGCCATAGCGACCGCAACACGCATCACAGCGGTCGCATTAGCCGCACCCGCAACCGCAATTTATAACCATGGTTGAATGGGTCGGCTATCCGGTGGGCAACTATTGTGTTCCATGCATTGATGCATACTTTTATTTATTTTATGCAGGATCCCAAACAAGGGAATTGGTGGCTAGAGTTTGGATCCGGGACCATAGTTGGATATTGGCCATCTTTCTTGTTTACACACCTTAGAAAATCAGCAAGCATGATACAATTTGGAGGTGAGATTGTTAATAGCGATAGCTCCACTCATACATCCACTCAAATGGGAAGTGGTCATTTTCCTAGAGAAGGGTTTGGAAAAGCTTCTTATTTTCGAAATTTGCAAGTGGTCGATTGGGACAATAACCTAGTACCCTTGTCTAATCTTAAACTTCTCACTGACGATCCAAACTGTTATGATATACAAGGAGGGATTAATCGAGTTTGGGGTAACTATTTTTATTATGGTGGTCCCGGACGAAATTCAAAATGTCCGTAGAAGAAAATGACATACATATTCTTTTAGATTGTACTCCGTATTTTTTTATTTACACAAAGTGACACATTCATATATACCTATAGTAGGGAATTTTGTAAATCAAATTGAAAAAATGAAGAAATATATAGTGAAAATACAGATATTACTTTTGTTTGGCATTTAATTGTTATCTGATTATCTCTCTTTCCCATAAATAACACCTGATCTTGACGATGTAGTTTTATTTATAGAAGCCCACATCATGGGCACGAAGCAATTAAAGATATGAAACCATGATGTATGTGAGTTTTATTGCACTTAAAAAATATGTAGTATAGGGCTAAAGTACGAGTATCGTCTCCACTGGGACGGAAAAAGAGAATCAAGAATTAAATAAATTGAGCGATTAAAAAATAAATAAAATACAATTGCGATGTGCAAGATTTGAATTTTTTGGGAATTTAACTAATGCGAATAAGCAGCTAAATTAAAAGGTTCTTTCTAATTAATGACGAAAGAGAACAAAGATTAATTCAGGGGTAATCAGATTTAATTTCTGGCTGAACAGGTTTAATCACATGAAAATTATTTAATTGAGCAACGCTAATCAATACTAAGTTCTTACCGCTCTCGCGACATAGAGTACAATAATTTTGGAAACCAGACTGATCTCTCATGCGACAAGTAGCTAAATTATTGTCAAAATGAGCGAGCATACGACCCCTTAATCACTACTAATCTCTAAGATTGGATGGTAAAAAGTTGTGCTTAAGTAGTTCTACGGGATACTTAAAGGTGGAATTATATGAACTCTAAGTTATACTAGGGGTAGGCCTTAAAGGCTACTCAAAATAAATTGAATCTAGGCATAGAACTTGCTTAGGGACTGAATAACGTGACTATGAGCGAGACTCTAGCACGTCGTAATGGTGACTAAGAGCGAGGCTCTAGCATAATGTAGAGTGACTAAGAGTGAGGCTCTAGCATAATGTAGAGTGACTCAGAGCGAGGCTCTAGCACGGTGTAGTAATATAAATGAGCGAGGCTCTACGATGGTGAAATAACATAGTACGGTAAAGCCCTATGACGGCATAGTGACCTACTTAAGGTTTTATGATGATCATGACTAGTAGTCACGGGGAATAGGGAAGGACGTTTCAAAATGAACATGGACCCACGGGCCGACTACTTGACTTTATACAAAGTAAGTATATTTTCAAACAGGTAACCTAGGATTACGGCCTATATTATGATATCACCCTATTTGTGGGTCTTAGAAATCGAAACATTGATTATATACAGTGTAGTTGTCATTATACTTTTCAAATGCTTCACTGTACTGACCTCCCCTTCACGAAGGAGGCCACCTCACAGTTTCAGGTAGAAGTTGAAATTCCTACCAGTACTCGTCGCTTCGAGGAAGGATCTAGGAGTGAAGACGTTGTTCGTGCTTCCTCCGTTTCAATTTTAAAACAATTACAATAATGCTCATGGATAATATTTTCTAATATACTATTTGGGGCTTGTATGCCTAAGTTTGTCAAGTGTGACTTGAACACTTGTAATAATGTTTCCGCTGCTTTAATGAATATTTTACATTATGTTTGTTTATGGATGTACTATGTGTGAATGATATTCAAGATGCCTAGTATAATATGGATATGCTTGACTGTTGTTGTTATTCGTACTGTACGACAGATTGTTGACATGTCCGGGTAGGTCCGAGGCGTGACATATAGCCTCGTGTGAGTCAGCAGTTCCTCTTGTCTAAGGAGATTTGAACGTAACACCCCATAGGTGTCGTGATCAAGGCCCATCAAATTAAAAACTCATGCGTCTTTTCCTCCTTAATCTGCTTTATGTACTTTTTGGTTAGATCACACATACACCCGCTGCATGTACATTGCGCCATGATACGACAACATTCATAATCGTTGACCGAGCTAAACTTGCAAGTGTACAAGTTCTGATTTAGTAATAAATTTCGGTAAAATACCGAGTCGAATCCACAAGGAAACGTTGTTTAATTTAGTCGGAGAGTAGATGATTTTAAATAAATAAATGAGTAAAGTGTAGAGATTTTGATTTGTGTTTTACATTTTTGGCTTTTCACTTTTTGTTCAAGAAGATAATCGTTAACTAATTTTAAGTTTAAGATGAATGATAACAACAACTAATGCTTCGAGAATCACTTAAATGCTTTAATAGGGTTGAATATTAGTTATTTGCCAATAATTATGAATACGATGTCGCTAATATATTCTCAACTCCGGTTAAGGCAACGAAAGTGTGGTTTTCGTTACGTGTAAGTCCCGTTACGACTTACATTCATCTACCGTTAACATCGTTGAATATCAAGACATCACACTCGTATCATATAAGACCGGATATATTTCTATTCTCGGTACTATATATGTTTATCCTTTAATGTTCAAAGTTTAGACTTCAACGTTAAATGCAAGCATAAACTAAATTTAACATACTTCTATATTGTACAATATAGTCATAAACAATCAAAATATAAAGGATAAATCATAATTTATTGGTTTAGAACGTTTATCAAACACCTAGTGGGCATAGAAGTTCATCCCTAGCCTTAGCTAAGAAATTAGCTACTAATGCTCATATTAAATACAAAAGTGTAACTAAGAATAAGGAAATACAATAACATACAAGAAAAATTACCTAGAACCAATTGTAGAGGAAAGAAATAGGCTTCTTCTCAAGAGCTTGAAGAACAATAACAAGAATAATATATAAAAACTAGGAATTAATCTATGGAATGGAATGTATTTGCTTGATGAATTGAGGGATTTATATAGGCTAAAGAACGTCATGTTTTAGTCTATTCGAACCCAACAATAAGGTATGGAAGAAATATTTGATTAGCATTGAGGAAGATGGAGTTTTCCCATCAAGAATCAGCTTGCACTATGCTGTGTTTTAGCAGAAGATCGACCCAACCGACGCCGGTTCTGGCCTGACCGGCACCGGTTCTCTGTAGTGTTCGTGAATTAATGAACCAACCGGCGCCGGTTCCCTGATGACCAGCGCCGGTCATTGCGCCAAAACATGTGCTTCCTCTTTCTTCTTATTTTCGTGTCCGTGATTGATCCAGAAGTGCCGATTTTCGATCCCTTTTTACTTTTGATCCCGTATTTGTCGCTCCTAGCCATATTCCACACTTTTGCTAACTTTTGAATATTTACCTGTTTTCGCTCTATATTTTTGTACAGATAAATATAATCACCTATGTAAAACATAAGTAATTATTGTGCTTATCAAATTCCCCCATACTTGAGCGTTGCTAGTCCTCGAGCAATGTTGTCACCTTTAGTTGTCTTGGTTAGTTCAACAAAAATATATGTACAAGAATAATTTTGCTTTTAAGATAGGTAAAAACGTATATAGACTCTTTTATCATTCTCGGTCCAAAACCCTTTTTCTATTACACACAAAAATATCATTAGATTTAGAAAAATTACTTATACTCTTGAATTGATGAGTGGGTTGTGACTGAGGCTTTTTGGATGTGTAAAATGGTTTTCTTTAGGGAATTTTGACTTTTTAGTATAGAAATGGATCATTTGAAGTTCTTGGAAGAGACCATGAACTATTTTTTTTAACTCATTTGGAATGGTTCTCAACAAGTATTTACTGAAAGTCATTTTGATAGTCCCAAATTATTTGATGAAATATGTGGGTGGCTTGTATTCCAAAATGGATTTTTTTTGAATATTTGAGATGTATCTAAACCATTTTGGAAGATGAAAGAAGATGATGTTTCCTAGTCACAAGGTTTCTTTTTGGGAATGATTATCAAGAGTAAAAAGTAGTGTAATAAATCTAAAAAAATGATAGTTTTGTGAGTAATAATTAAAAAAAACTTTCTCAACCAAATACCCAAAAAAAAAGATATAACAATTTTTACCTTCCTAAGATCAAAAATATTTTGCACAAAAAAATTGTTTAACCACCCCATGAAATGCACCCCCCCCCCCCCCCCGCACTTAAGATATATTGTCCCAATGTATGATGATGCATGATAAACAATTACTTCAATCAACATCCACAATAAAGTGTGTTTATAGAAGATTGTATCACAGAAAATAGAAACAATAGGGGTTCAATATTGTGGATCGGGAGGGGGTTCCCATATTGACCGTAATAGTGTTGGGTAAATTGCTCGAACCTTCGGTCATATCCTTCCAAATGCTCCTCGATTCTTGCCTGGCGGGCCTCAAAAGAATCATAGTGGGTGTAAAGCTTCTCTTGCCGAGTCTGATAGACATCCATCCTTGTGTGCATGTGGTCCATGGAGTTGATGAGATAGTCAAGGCTCTGTGTCATGGTCCGTCGTGGCCGGGTTGCCGGTTGTGGTTGAGCTTCAGCCATCTCTTCATTGCCATCCTCCTGCTCCTCATCATCCCCTTCTTCCCTTCAGACCCATGTCTTTCCCACCTTTTTGTAATGGAGGGAGACCATAGTGCTTGCATTGAGGACTTGTGACCTGGTTGTGTACTTCACCTCTTCATTTTCAAGGTCAACGCCGAAACTCCTGAAGATCATAGTAAGTAAAAGAGGGCAAATAAAATTTTTGTCACCTCTTTTGGTCTTGACTACGCTCCTCATGTCCATCATGATGAGAGGGGCCAAAGGGACGCCTTGAATATGTTCAAGCCTGGTGACCATCTTTTGAAAAGGGTAGAGGACTACCCGCCGAACGAGGTGTGAGTCACTAGCCCGTGGCAAGATGTTGGAGCCAAGAAGGTACATGAGTAGTCTTTCCCGAACATTGAGGGTCTTGGCCTTAAGCTCTTTATTGAGGCCGAATAGTTGCATTGCCTTTATTTCATCATAGGCGTGGTCGCTTAGCACCGCCTGAGAGTTCATTGAAAAGGGAGTATCTACGTCAACGATGTTAAGTAGGTTGCACAGTCGGCGTTCGCTCACTGTGATCGTCGTGCCTTTGACGATGCTCACGATGTCTCCATAGGGGTCATTCTTCCTCTCGATGTTTGCGTAAAATTCCCGCACAAGCCGCGGGTAGTATGCTCTAGTCAGAGTGAGCATGATAGCCCACCCTAGCACGTCAAACGCCTCTGAGATCCGGTAGAGTTCGTTGAGTTGAGGATCCACGGTCTTCTCGATAACAATTTTCCACTTTTTCCTCTTCTCGTACCACATTTCATTCTCCGGGGAGGTGAAACAGGGTACGGAAAAGAAGAAGAACTAGCACCACTCTTTCTTTTGGGAGGCATTGACCTGCATAATTAGTTTGACACATACGCAACACGACATATATTCATCAACTCAAGGTATTTTTAAATTTTAAATCCAAAAATTCAACAATTCCCCCAATTTTCTTGTTCATACACAAATTTCTTGCAACAATTATGTTTAGAAGACTATATATCAACAATATATCATATCAATATCCTTCTAAACATCAATTATATATAGCAATTCATCAATGAACAAGAAATTCAAAATTAGGGTTCTTAGAAAAAAAATTCAAGAACTTCCCATAATTTTGAACTTTAACCTCAAACTTTTGACAAGAATCATGTTTATATACATCATATGAGCACAAAGAATCAATATTCATGAGTTATAAACATCTATTTTGCCAAAATTGAAATAAAGAAAAAACTTCAAGAATTAGAAAAATTTGGAATTAAAGCCAAAATACCTTGAATTGATGATTTCTTCTTGATTTAGAACTTGGAGGGGGGTAGTGTGATGTTGTTTAGACCTTGGTGGACTGAATTTCGGTGATAGGGGGTGGTTGTGGGGTGCTTGGGGGTGTTTTCCGGTGTTGAGCTCTCAAACTTGGGGGGGGGGGGGGGGGGGGTTGCTTGAAAATATGCTGGATTTGGCGACTTGGAGAGTATTTTAACCGGACCGACCGGCGCCGGTTAGGGATATGTTCGGCGCCGGTTACGCGTGAACGCTCTCAACCTAAACTCACTGTAAACGTACAACGCCGGTTATAAGGCTTGACCGACGCCGGTTGCTGAAAAAATAATTTTTTTTCTTCAATTATAAATAAATGTGAGTGTTTTATAAACAGATTTATTTATAATTGATTTTTGTTTAATTTATAAATAAAAATGAATATGTATATGACCAAACATACACTACAAGAAATATAGGTTTTTGTGACAGTTATAAATTGTCATAAAAGGATACATAAACTATGGTAAATATTATTTACAACATTTCTGCGACAGTTTTGTGTGTGTGGGCATAACAGCCGTGGTAAAAACATTAACCACAGTTGTCAACTGTCGGTTATACTAATAGCAACAGTACATGATGTGTGGTAACTAATATTATGTATAGTGTTGTGTTTAACCTTTGGCCACACAAGGAATCCGTAGTAAATAGTATACAATTGCACATTTGGATCATATAGAGAAATTAGTTATATCTTTTTTGTTATAAAATTCATTTTTGTTCAATTTGAAACCCAAATAATGCAACATCACTTTAACAATGTAATTTAGTAATAGAAATACTTAAATATTTAACCATACACATATGCTTCAAAACTATTACTAAATCATTCAACAAAACACAATTTCATAACATATGGGCAAATCTTGAGCAAAATCATAATAAAGGTTTTGGGTACATGTAAAATGTATCTACCACCCCAAAATCAGTATTTTTTAAGTCAAGTACATGGTAAGTTAAACATTCTCTTCACCCAAAATATTTTCCATCAATTTGGGATGACCATCATGGCTGCTCCAATACCTATAGAAAAAGAAGTAATACTAATTAGTAATGTTAAAGCACATTAATAATTACTATCACTTAAAGTGGTTTATTTCAATATATTCTTCACACATGCTTTCATAAGTTTCAACACTTATTAAATATAGCACAAAGTATAGTGTGTTCCAAACTTTTTCTTGTGAGGCATCTAACTTTGCTGTCAAGTCATCAATTCTGGAGTTCAATTCAGCAATTATAGAGGCTCATAATGATTTTTGACCTCTTCCATTAGTTCTTTTTTAAGTTGCTCCTTGTTACCAAGTGATTCATCCTCTCTCATCTTGCTATTTATTTGAGATTTGGTTGGTCCAGTTCCCATTGTGCAGCAACACCCATGATTTTCAGGTCTCATAATTTCATCAAATATTTCATTTCTTTTTTCTACACAGTCACACTCATCCTCATTCAGCTCATCTAATCGCTCATCAAATGCTTTCTTTGAGAGATGAATGAGTTTGAGTTAATAATATATTTATATGATTACCAAATAATATATTCACATAACAACTTACTATTTGTTCAAGTGTTTGGTGATCTTTTGTTGTGCCATCTTTATTCACCCTCATTTCAAGGTAGACGCTCAATTTATCAGTCGGTTTTCCAGTTTGTTCCATCTATAAAAAGGCCCGTTAATGTGAAAAGTTAAACTAAGCATAAAAATAAAAGGCGGATGATGCAAACCTCGTAACGTATATCAGCGCATGACTTCCTTCTAGTACGATGCGGAGGGCCCACAAAAGTTTGATTGCGTTGATTTTTGGCAGCATTTCCCTACAAATATATACTCCCTCCGTTCTTTTTTAGTTGCAACGGTCAACATTTCACATTTACCAACACACGTCTTTGATCGTAATTATATCTTAATTCTATTAGTAAAAAAATATTAAAAATCAAATTTTGAAAATTTGTAATAAGATGAATTGAAAAATAATTTTTTAAAAATAATTTTCATAAAATAATAGCGTAAAATGTAGTCAAAGTAAAACCTGGAATAGTGTAAATTCAACATGTTGCGATTAAAACAGAACGGAGGATAGTATATTTTTAGTGATACATTATGTGATTTCAATGCACTAGCTCATCTCATAAAGATAAAAGCAATAATGAACACTGGCTGTTCTCCCTGCACTCATTTTGTTTGTAGTAGATGAAACAAAACAGTTGAGAAAAGAAAGAGATATAATTCATAAACCTGTTCTCTTGGTGTGTGCCACTTTTCAACAAGAAATTTCCACTCTTGATCTGTAATGAGGCTGGGAGTTGCAAACAAATTTTCTTCTTTTGTTTTATTAATATCAAAGTAATCCTCCTTCACACGAGACTTCCAATCACGCCATTGTGCAGAAATAGTTTGCAAACAGATTTTTTTGTAAGCAAGTGGAGCAACAACATTGCTCTGTAATAAGGAACACTATTATGTCAATGGATAACATATGACAACACAAACTGAGATTTATTGTGTTTGCAAGTGGGAATTTTTTGAGCAAGTAAAGTCAAATGATAAAAAATACTATCGTATATGATTAGTGTAAAAATCAAATCAAGTTCGACCAATATAATCATATTATTTAAAACACTTACTTACTTATATATATATATATATATATATATATATATATATATATGTGTGTGTGTGTGTGTGTGTGTGTGTGTGTGTGTGTGTGTGTGTGTGTGTGTAAGTAATGATTTCATATCTGCACCTATTCCCAAATAAAATCCTTCATACTTTGAGGAACTTTTATCCATGTATCAAACGAAAGAGGTAGTCTCACTCCATTACGTGCCAAGGTTCCCAAATAAGATGCAAGTTTGCTTTTGTTCTCACCCACTGGTTGCAAATACTCATTCCACTCGACTTCAAGTTTATTATCATTCTTTGTTTGAAGTCCCTTTGCTGGTCCGCGCCCTTTTCAAAAATTTTCAGCTTCACTTGCTACACTTGATATATAAATCAAAATATAAAAATATTTTTGTAACAAGTTGAAAATCGGCAGTATACATTTCGTATTTTAATTATATCAATGTACAACAATATATACTCGATAACGACAATGAGATATTTGCTTGTTCATAAAGTATTGGTAGGTTACAGCTGACCTTGAGAAATGCCATTTCGCACACCACCGACTTCTTCCAGTAAAATGTCATCAATGTCATTTTCACAAAGAACATTATGTGTGCAAGATCTCTTGTGGAGATTCACAGGAGGCTTGGCTGACTATATTAATATACAAAAACATCAATTTGATGCACAAGGAAATCACAAGTAGGTAATGAAAAAAAATTGACCATAGTTGGTGTTGTCTTCTTCAACTAACAATTTTGCTAGTTCTTGGTTTCAATACTAACATTTAGATCTTCTGTTTCAATATTGTGTAAACTTCTAGTTGCTCTAGTTCTTGGTCTAACAATTTTGCCAGCCATATTTACCTACAAAATATTAAATAAAATAAGACATGACTACTAAATACATGAACTTGAATTAATGAAGTTCTAAATGTCTACAACTTTATTCAAAATAAAATAATACAAATATAAGATCTTACTGGTTTTTTATAGACTTTTTAGTCAATGATAAGATTCCCAGTTCCTTCAAAAAAAATCTTAGTTAGTATAGTCTTTGTAGTTTATTTTTTAAATATATACAAGCTAGAATTAGCTACCTCTAGCTTTCTTTTGTTATTTGAAATGTTCTTGTTGCGAGCATCTTCATAACTATTTGCACCAGCATCATTGGTCATTTCTCACCAAATCTTAGTCTGTAAAACCACAATAGAGGAAAGTATAAATTATTAGTTAGAAAATAATCAAATAAAGTACTAAAACTCTTTTAGTTGGACAGGTATGTTAGCGGCAATCAAGATAAAGTCAAAGCAATATAGATTACAGAACTTATCAATTTTTTAACACCAAACATATTGAAATAGTATAAATGAAAATTAAACAAATATTTCACTAAGACTAATAATTCACTCACTAGTTGGAATTGTCACCTTAGCTAATGGTGGCGCCTTCTACCCCTTGCCTAACCCACACAATTTCGTCATCGTTTGCAAAACATGCATTTTCATCCAACATCTGATCTTTACAAGCTTCAGTCTCGATAAATGACTCAAACTTGTCTCTTCGTGCCATTTGCTCAACCACAAGCCAATTTCCCTCAGAAGGATCCGAAATATATATAATACACTTGCATCGCTTGTGATGCCAATATAAATGGTTCGTAACTTTCTAAATTATCTTTGTACATACAATGACTAAAGTTCACTAATGTGAAGCCAAATTCATCATATATCAAGCACTTTCGATTGTCAATCCAATCACACTTGAACAGTCCCAATTTCATTTTACTTGAATAACGTATTTCGATGATATCAGTTAGCACTCCGTAGTAAATGAGATCACCGGCAATAGGATTCTTATCTTTTGCACTTGAGTAGCTCGTTGTTTCTGCCTTGGTAACTACTCCACTATTTTGAGTGCATCTTGCACTTTCATGACTTTTTGTGCGAAATCGAAAACCATTAACAATGTATGCTTTAAACCTTTTTGCTTCAAAATCAGGACTAGGAGCTAATGTTTTGATTTCATGTGATAATTCCTCATCATGAAAATTCTGTCTTGCCTCAACCTGCATTTGCATATCAAATCTAGAAAAGTCATACTTGCAAGTATAATACCCACACCAAAGTTATAACCTACTTCATCTGCCACACTTACATAGGTCTTAAGCCATATGTGAAACTCTTTGTTATGAATATTCTGTACATCTCAATCACTGAGTCGACAGCTTCTTCTAATCTCTGCACAATTGATTCTATAAAAAAGTATGTGTTATCTTTTAGTTTTATTTTAAAAAAAGAAGATAAAGCAAGGAGTATTTTGAGTTTCATATCTCACTCTTCTAAGGGCTTTATTGCTTCATTATTCATTAAAATATAACGATGAGCTTGTACCCATGTAACTTTATCCATCCTTAGTTTAACACCTTTTCCTACTCCATGCGCAGAGTCTTCATATTTTCCCAGCCTACTTGGCTTTTTATACTTACTGTCAACATCTTCAAGTTATCTTGCACAAAAATTCATGCACTCCTCCACTACATATCCTTGTGCAATGGATGCTTCTGAGTAAGCTCGATTACGCATATACTTCTTTAGAGTACACAAATACCTAGTTATAATAGATGTTTTCATAATAATATCTCTTCAAATCACTAATATCTTATTATCACATAAAATAAGGGATGACATACCTCTCAATTGGATACATGGTCCTAAATGGTGCTGCTCCACCCAACAAAGCCTTCTCGGGCAAATGGACAGCCAAATGCACCATTATGTCAAAAAATGAAGGAGGAAATATCTTCTCAAAATGACATAGTGTCACATTAATCCTATCTTGCACAGCTTCCATATCACTTTCACGATTTGATTTGGAGTACAATAGCTTGAAGAATATACCCACCTCAATCAAAGTTTCAACTACATTTTTGGGTAATGACCTACGAACTGCCAAAGGAATGAGTTGTTGGATAAGAATGTGACTATCATGACTTTTGAGTCCCCAAAGAAGCATATTTTCTGAATAAACACACTTAGATATGTTTGATGCATACCCATCTGGAACTTTTATGTCTTTTAACACTTTACAAAAGTTATATTTCTCTTTCTTACTCATAGTGAATGATGCTGGAGGAAGATAATAATTGCCATTATCCTTTAAAACTGGGTGCAAGGGCTTTCGAATATTCATTTCTACCAAGTCTCGTCTGGAATTTATGTTTTCCTTTGTCTTCCCTTTCACATTTAATAATGTGAATAGGATATTATCGGAGACATTTTTTTCAATATGCATCAAATCTAGATTGTGTCGGAGCAGGTTGGTCTTCCAATAAGGAAGCTAAAAAAAGATGCTCTTTTTTCTCCAGTTACCACACAAGTTCTCATTTTCACCTCTTTTCCTTTTCAGCAAATCATCTTTCTTATACTCAGTCAACACGACTCCACTCAGCTTTTGTATCACTTGGTTTCCAGATAATCGTTTTGGTGCTTGTCGAAATTCCTGTTTCCCATCAAAAGATGCTTTGTCTCGGCGGAATTTATGAGTTGGGGATAAATATCGGCGATGTCCCATATAGCACGTTTTCATTCCATTGCACAACCTGAGATACTTTGTTATGTCTTCGCAACATGGACAACCAAGAAATCCCTTCGTACTATATCCAGATAAGTTAGCATATGCAGGAAAATCATTAATAGTTCATAACAGTGCTGCATGTAACTTGAACATCTCATTAGCAGATGTGTCATATGTCAATACACCTTCATTCCACAAAAGCATCAACTCTTCAATTAATGGCTGCAAGAATACATCAATTTTGTCTCCGGGTCCATTAGGTCCATCAATTAACATAGACAAGATTAAAAAGGGTTGTTTCATACATAGCCAAGGAGGTAGATTATAGGGAATCAGGATAACCGGCTAAGTGCTTCTAGATGTCGACAACGTTCTAAAAGGATTAAACCCATCTGCAGATAAACCTAAGCGGACATTACGTTTATCATTTGAAAAGTCCTTTTTATTCTCATCAAAAGATTTCCATGCTTTAGAATCTGCCGGATGCTTTAATACACCATCATCGGATCTACCCTCTACATGCCATTTCATTAGTGAAGCAGTCTTGGAACACGTTGTTCATGTCTTCCAAGATAAATATCTCACTCTCTTTATTCCAATCTTTTTTCCACCTTCCTTGTATCTATTTTCTCCACAAATGTAACACTTATCCAGGTCTATATCTTCACCACGATAAATCATACAATTATTTGGACATGAATCCCATGTATGGTAATTAAACCCCAAAGCATCAACAATTTTTTTAGCTTCATAATATGAGCCTAGAATATTCTCAAACTCTGGAAATACTTCTTTAAGTAATCCTAAAAGTAACGTGAATGACTTATTTGTCCAACTCGAGAGGGCTTTTAATTGTAAAAGACTAACAATAAAAGATAACTTGCTATAAGTTTGACACCCTGGAAACAATTCGGTTTCGGCATCCTCTAAAAGTTTAAAGAAATCTATAGTTTTTTTCATTTGGGCCACTGTCATGCTCAGTGTTAGCACCAGAATCGATTCCATGAAAAACACCAAATGCTTCATGTATCATATTGACCATATTGTCATTCGTGTGCACTTGTGTATTATCTGTGGCCATTGTGTTCTCTTGAATTAGAGTACTAGTCTCACCATGATAAATCCAACATCTATACCTTGATGTAAATCCACGGACTATGAGGTGTGAATAAGCCTCATTACGATTTACATAAAATCTATTTGCACAATCCTTACAAGGGCAATAAATCAACGAGCTTATATCCTTGTCTCTATATGAAAAGTTTAAAAACTCATTTACTTTTTCCTTGTACTCCAGGGAGATTCTATTTTGTGAATACATCCAATCCCTATCCATGACCTATAAATAGAGAAATCAACTATTATGGGCAGATTTGGTCATGACCAACAGAGAGATTGATCCCAAATATTGCATTAAATTAATCCTAAAAATAGAAACAATTACTTTTTAATAAGAAAATATCAAATGAATACAATTTGTATTACTAAGCACTCCCATTAGAAATGAAAAAATCAATTGAAAGAATGAATACAGAGCATTTGAATTAGCATAGTCTCATTATTAACTCTAGGAAAGATTATAAGTTAGTTAATGTAATGTTTGTGGATTAGTTTAGTCACTTCTGCAATATTTATGGGTTAAACTAATTAGTTATTAAAATTTATACATTAATACAGTTTGACCTTTGTATACAATCTACTTTAGTTAACCCAGTAGAACGTATGGGTGTATCAACTCATTACCATAAAGAAAGCAATTGTTTTTTTATTTCTTGATTTCCTATGATAACAAAAAACTCAATTTTGCAGAAACTTTTGCATATTGGCTATCTAGCCGCTGCCTATACTCAAGAGGCAAATAAATACAAATCTGGATAACACCAAGGTAGTCTGTGAATGTAATATTGTACAAACAGTAAAATAGATTCAAACAAATATGTATGAATAAGAACATATGCACATGAAAAATACCAGAGAGGCTTGTTGATTGGTATTCCAGAGGAGCTCTGCTTGGTCCCCAAATTCGAAGAGGGTGCACAAATCCAAATCAAGACTACATAAACATTGGATTAGAGAAAGTCTATGTAAGCATAGAAGCAAACCGATATGACTTTAAGAACTTTTGAGGAAAATCAATAAGTCTATGAATATAAATTATGATGTGTACATACCTTATGAGCGAGAGAGAGGCAGTTTTCCATCGGCTTGCTCTCAGGAAGAAACCCTATCGTGTGATGGTGTTATTCTATTGGCCGGCTTTGTATTTCGCTTTTAGTTTGTTTTTTATAAATTTGGAATATATCTAGAGCAAATTTTGTAACGACCGAATCAGCTGATTATGCTAAAATTTATGTAGTTCTGGTTAAAGTGACATTATTGGCTGATTCTGCAGATTTTATGAAAAAATTATATTAAAAATATATTTTAGTAATAAAATAAAGAAAAATATAT